AAAATGGCTAGGTGGTAGACGCCTTCTTGGTATGACGTTTTAAAATGCCATTCCAGAAATCACCCTGGGGTGGATGCTGCACCCGTTAATGGCTGTCAGCTGATGCCGACCTAACTAGTACTAAAGTGATTAAAATATTTTACTACCAGGTCTTTTAACCTTCTGTTTTTTTAAATGTTCTGTTCATTCCACTTTGCTAATGAATATGCAAATTTTTTTAATCAAAAACAAAATATAAAAATGGTATTTACTCACAGAAAAAAGCCCGGCCGTACTCTGCAAACTTTGCTGAAAAGTGTATTGTACCACACAGATACATAGTCCTGCCATGGATCCTCTTCACTTTGACATGTTGCACCCACTGATGGGCTTAGTCCTGACTAATTATTGCAGTGTGTGGTTGGACTGTGTTTTCTGTGAGTAGCTGTTGATGCTGGAGCAAGATGGGCTTTGCCCGTGTGCACCCGCTGTTCTCCCTAGTGCTGCTGTGGAGGAGCGGTGATATTGGGCTATGGTAGTTTGTTAAAAAAAAATGGCATGCCGCTTCACATAAATGTCTTTAGTGGCAAAATGATAAATTCCTATTACTGATCTCTCAGTAATAAAAAAAAACAAAAAACTGGCTCCTACTAATGGGGGTTTTATCACTTGCTGAAAGGGAAATTTATTTTTAAAAAATCCTGCAACATATCAAAACTAAACAAACACTGGAGATCCTTTCCAAAATAAAATACATACATTAGCAGGAAAACAGATTTGAATAGACTTACCATATAGGAGATGCTGTACTTGGAGTTGAAAAAAGGTCAATAGGTGGGGATGTGTCTACAGTTTTTGATGGTGTAGTGTTTGGTGAGGTGACTGTAGTAGCAGGTGAAGACTAAGACAAAGCAAAACATAAAATCTCTATAGAAATACAGCAATACACTATTTTGGATTAGTAACTTACATGATATTTATTCTGTCTCTACCCATTATTTCCTTATTTTTTGTTTAGGAAAATTCAGTATATTTTAGTGTAGGGGCGCCCACAATTTTTTGTCTGGAGATCTACTTTTCAAATGATGAGCTCAATGAGATCTACCAACGAAAAAACACCTGCATTCAGGGGCGGGAGGGGGCGTGGTGGTGCATTGAAGTCAATGCCACCGCAGGCAGGCCCCTCGCCCACAGTGCGATCGCCTGCACCCGGAACCCAGGCATATTAGTTCATGCATTCCAGTCCAGTGCAATCCGCAAAAATGCTGCAAGCACAATTTTTGCAGATCGCACTGGACCGAAATGCAGGCACTAATGTGCGTGCGTTCTGGGTGCGGGCGATCGCACTGTGGGCGAGGGGCCTGCCTGCGGTGCCTGGTTGCAGTGGCATTAACTTAAATGCACCGCCACGCCCCCTCCCGCAGGGAGTCGGCCGGCTTACATTCCAATGCGTCCTAGAGGCCCCAGCGTCATGTCCTTCCGCGGTGCTCGTGTGGCCGACATTGCACATGGGGAGAGGTGTCCACGGGAGCATAGCCGTAGCCAGCTCCTTTTGCGCCCGGAGGCAAAAAAAAAACAGTGTCCCCCCAAACAGGCGTGTGATATCACCCACCTCCAAGATTTTTTTTTTACTTTTTACTATGTTATTTTATTTTTATTTCTTATTTTTTATATAATTTACATATTTTGTTTTACTCTTAGGGTGCCCCAGGGAAATATTAGGGGTCTAAACAGCCCCCTGATATTTCCCTTTTAATATAGAAAAAACACAATATTCTCAATCTCAATGAATGGAAAGTACAGAGGCTTATTCATTCAGAAAATATTTTGCCATCATCCAGTTTCTGAATGGGGAATAGGGAGTGCTTCTGCCCATTGAGAAACTCATGAATTACAAACAGTGGAGTGATCAGCTGATCGTTCCAGTGTTTGTCCTGCACAGAGGATCGGTACATATGACCGATATTTACCGATCCTCTGCTGCTCGGCCACGCACACGGGGGCTCAGCTTCTCCTCTGGATCTCCCGGGCAGAGGCAACGGGGGATCCTAAAGAAGCACTTCAGCCGTGCGGGGGGGGGGGGGGGCGGGGGCCGGAGCCGCTGTCACAGAACCTGGCCGAGTGTCTCTCTCTCTCCTCACCGCTCGGCCTTAGTTCTGCGACAGTGGCTCAGTCCTTCGTCCCCCCCACCCGCGGCTTCTTCACTTCTCCTCGGATCCCCGCTGTATACAGATGGGGATCCAGAGGAGAGGCCCACGGGCAGGAGGAGAGGACATCACGATCTACCAGTGATCGCTATGCGATCGACTGGTAGATCGCGATCGACCTTATGGGAACCCCTGTGTTAAGTGAAATAGTCTACAATAACGAGCAGACTAAGATTTAACTCTTAATGGGTACTGGGTAAATATGATGAATTGGATATTTGGCTAAATAGTAATGAAAGCATCCAGTACAGAATCTGTAAAATACATTTAAGCATTCTGAGCTTTTTTTTTACTTCAGTATAAGGAATTTAAAAAAAAAAAAAAATCATAGGATACAGGCAATAGCATTTCACTTCAGTGTCAGCATTTACCAAGCACTGCCTCAAGTAGGCCAATTTTTTAAGTCATAGTAGACATCAAGTTGCATTTATACAGTAATACACATGGGGGAAAAAAAGGCATACAAAACCACTATTTTACTACCCTCTTAATTACAACATGTAATTAGATCCCAATTTTTTAATTCAGATTACAGAATAAGTAGATCTGTATTTATCCTTTGCACCAATTTTATATAAAACCAGGTCCAAAATGTTCCCACAAGAAATAACGCAGAGTTCTAATAGGTAATATAAAACAATACAAACAAAATTTTAGTAAAATTTGGACTGCAGAATTATACATAAAATATGGGCTCTGGCGTTTTGCAAAGCATTGATGTAAAATTTTACACATTCCACGGAATTACAGTATTTTCCTGAGAGGTCATCTACAAAATCTGGATTTCTTTCACATTTAAAAAAAAATCCATTAATGCATCTCCCTAGGACAAAATATAAAAGGGCATTGACATTTTAGGACACCATGGAGAGTATTTCAGTAGGTGGTGTATAATCATTATAGCAAAACCGCTGTGCAGTTCAAAAGATAACAATTGTACCCATACAATGAGTAATTCATATGAAAAGCTAATACATTATTCACATAATATGATGTAGAACATAAGTTACTTTATACTATAATATTACCTTGCCCACTGGTGAACCGGAGCTGAAACCAGAAAACAAAATCAGTTATTAAAAGTAAATTGCAACAGAGCCAAGAATGCTTAAAATATTGAACAGCTATACTACTACTGAGCTTCATGAACCTGCCAGCTCAACAGAGCTTCTGCCAATTTTTTTTGGGTAGCGTAGAAGAGGTTAGAACCCATGGTGTTTATTGTGATGGGGACAAGATCAAGAACTCCAGAGACTCAGAACACAATAAAACCTGACAGAGGTTCTAACCATCACACACTCCAAATGTTCAATAATCCAAAACTTTAAAAAAATGACTGGAGTTCCAGTTTACCAAATATCACATCAGTGCTTGGGGAAAGAGGGGATGATTGGGAGCACAAACAATTCTACAGGGATTTATAAATCACTTTGACAGAAGAAAGTTTACTAAAGATGGTTCACACAATCATGTAACAATTCTTATTATTCTTCAAGATGTATATAGCGCCAACAGTTTGCAAAGCACTTTACATTATAGGAAAGACATTACAATTACAGTACAATTCAAGACAAGATGGTAAGGAGGGACCTTCCCGTGAGGGCTTACAATCTAAAAGGGAGGGGCAATACAAGAGGTGGTAGCTGTGTGGGGATGAATAGTTTGAGAACATGTTAGTATGAGAGTGTGTTTAGGCCCTGTTAAAGGTGAACTTATGCCCCATCCCCAAGTTACTGTTTGAAAAAAAAGAAAAACAGTTTTCGTCTAGATTTACTCTGTATTTGGCTCCATTAAAATCTAGCCTTCAAACCTAATCAGTTTGCCCATCTATGAAACTTCTATGAAACTTTTTGTATTCTTAGAATCTTAAGTACTGTTCTAGGTCCTGGTGCCTGGGGACTTGGGATGAAGGCTTTATCCCACCCAAAGCTTTACAGGAGGTGCACATCTTACCTGGGTGCCAGACCTCATTATTAGCAGCTGCTGTCCACAGATTTATATTTATGCGAGCTGACTGACGCTCAGGGCTCTCTCGATCTGCTGTGGAAGCCTACTGCTGAGTGAAAAGGCTGAGGGGAAAACTCATTAGGGGCACCCTGTTAAGTCAGGAACTGGTCTGTGTTTTATTAGTAGCTCAGAAGAGCAGCTTGTTTTATTCTATGGATATGTTGTACAAAGCCCTCTTGCATTGACAACGGTGTTTGTTTGCTGCCTTGCTGAAAAAGTGCAGGACAAACCTGTCTGGGTAGTTTTTGAGTCTCCTTGTCTCGTTCACACACACAAGTTGCCCATTTAGGTACACCTGCTAATGAACGCAAAAAGTAAAATATCATCAAGAGTTTCAATCCTTCAAAACTTTGGAATAGAAAAAAAACATTGACATTGCAATGTTTGTCAATGCCAGCCTTGGTGGATACAGCAACTCAGAAATACCACCTGCAGAGTTTAGAGAATTGTGTAAAAAACATTTAGAAGTGCCAGTTTTGTGACACTTTGTTTATGAGAAAGGTCAGAGGAAAATGGCTTGACCTGTTCTGGTATCCAGGAGTGTATTAATGAGAGTTGTGCCTATCAATATTAACTATGAAATCCTCTCTTCCCTTATCCTAAACTAAATTGAAGGCTGAATTTGCTCTAAGTGACCTCAGGCTGCCCTCAGTTTGCCAGGCATCTTCAAGTTCCAAAAAACAGATCTGCTAATCTACCCTTTGATCTTTATGTCCTTAGCACTAATTACCTAAGCGAGGTATCCATTTTGGCCTTTAACCTTTTTTATGACGTTCCCTAATGAAAAGTCAACCAAGCATAATTACAGAGCATCACTTCATTAGTAATTGAAAGGTTTAGGTAAGCATAAGAGGACATGGTAACTTTATTGACCCAGGTGACCTTGGAGTCATGCATAAAACTGAGTTACATTATCAACCCAATTTCATAACTTGAAATTGGAGAGTGATATTGTAAAATGAATGGCACAAATAGCTGTGCCTTATCAAAACAAAACCAGACATACCAAGAAGAGACAGGTTATGATGTCGAGGCTTGACAAGCCACATTGATGCTCCTGCACCAACCATAATTCATATATACGGCAAGTTTGGTCTTAATGTAAAGATCATTTTATGACACATAATGATTTAGGGGTTGTCGGACAGTATTGTGTGTGAATATCCCACTATATTCCTAATTAGGAATTTAACAGTTTGGGAGGAGCAGAGGAGGACATCATAAAGGCTTAGCCCTCCTGCTCCCCCTTCCCTAGCCCTGCCTTATGGGCCAGCTCTGCGACACCCTCTAGAGGGCTGGCAAAAGACGTTGCAGAGGCAGCTAAGGAGGCTCTTGTTTTAACAGCAAGAAGAGCGATATCTGCAACATCAAGAAGTTTATAACATCCCAGAAGAGTTCCCGTTTATCAGGAAAGGATCTGTGCAAGCCTTGCTTGGAGACGAGCCATTTAGACTCTTTTGTTTATTAAACTGGACTCGGTCAGAACTCAAACTCAGGACTTAATTATTTTCTTTTTATTCCTTTGTTTTACTGTTACACATTTTGTTTCATATATATATATATAAATAAAATATATTTTTCTGTATATTTCTCTGCACCGTTTCTGTTATTAAAGGATGATCTTAAAAATGGTTAAGCTTATCTCTGTGCTCTAAATAAGAACCTTCAGTATACAGTCTCTCTATAACTGTATAGTTCAACCTGTCATATACCCGTTTGAGAGGACACTGGTAACATAGGCTTTAACTTAATTAAATTGTCACAGCACTTGCTGAGATCGGTTTGTGTAGCTTCAAAAACACATGTGGTAGCTATAACTTGGGTGTATAAAGGGTTAACTGAGGAGTTAACCAACCCTAGTGACAATTGCTCTGAGTCTGCTGGCTTGAGATTGTTGTCCCGAAAGCTGGTAAATCTCTGTGCAGGGTGAGGCTGAGAGTGGCATCGCCATATCCTTGTAACAACTGTAAGAACGGTGTATAGTCACGCGATTGTCGTACAGTGGGTTCGGACAATGAAAACTAGGCTAATTAGGGATGGGATATCTAGTCTGATGACTCTTGAGTTTTTCTGTAATGGGTGAAGATGGTAGGGTCAGAATGTGGCATTTAGTATTAATCCTCTGGTATTAGGTGGAAAAGGGAATGTGGTGGAGAAATGTGTAGTGACTATGTGATGACATTGACTGAACTAGGATCCTGATGATTGTACGTCATGACACATTCAGCCTATTCTGAAGGTAAAGGTGGGCCTTACTTTCTACTACATAGGTAAACCCAATAAAGTGGTTATGAAGTTTACTTAAACTGTAGATAACTGGATGAAATTAATAAAAAAACAAGAAAACAACAGCAGAGCTATGAAAGTACACTGAACAAAAGACCATTTAGGAAAAATTAGAACATGCCCAATATAGAAAAGCAAGCAGACACAGTAATAGACCTACCCATCACTGATGATCCGGAATTTCAAGAATGAAGGGAAAATCATTAGTACAGTTTATCGCAATGCTATAAACAATACTGTATATTTTACAAGGAACACACATCAATTAAAAGGTTATTGGTAACATGTTTACAGCTTTAAAAAAATCCCACAAATACAATTTTATACTTGTTCTTTTTGTTAACTTGTGATTAATAGCATGACGATGGCTGCTTTTTACAGCAGAGGCTAGTAGGAAAATGTCAAATACACAAATTTACTTTAACTTGCTTTTAATGATTTATATGTTGATATTACATAACCTGGGACATTCCCTATCTGAAGCCGACTAAAATGTATGATTCTGTGATCACATTTTTAGGCTAAAGAATATTAGAAAAATCTGTTGTGTGTCATCAATATGAGGACATTTGAGGACAGTCAGGTGCGCAGGCATGATCTGAAAACCCTCAGGTACCTGAGAATTATTTCATTCAAAGATGAAAACAACAGATGCAGGACATTTTTTTTTTTACCTATCCAATTGCTTCTTTTCTTGACAAGCCAGAACAAGTGGCATCTGCTGCTGACCCATAGACAGGGTCTGCTAATTCAGCTAATATCAAGTTTCAAAAGTTGCATTGGACTGCTTCAAGTTGCTTTTTCATTCACATTGAATGAGAAGAAATCATTTCATATGCAAACAAAATCCCATGCCCTGTGTTTGTCACACACTACCCAATTTTAACTAACTATAAAAGAGTGATTTGTGTATCATTAGTAACATATCAATCCAGAGAAATGAATCTTAAAAATGTGTGTAGGGGACTAGTATTAAAAAGGGCAAATCCCCAGTCTTTTTCTTGAAGCCAACTTTGCCATTTCCAAATGTACCAAATACCAACCAATACTTGTTTACAAATCCATGTATGGATACTAACCTGCTGCCTTTCTTTCCTTCCAGTGTATTTAAATGCTGCTCCAATGTTTCCATGAGGCTGCTGGGAGCCTGTCAATCAATTATATACAATCTTAACAAATAGGGCAACATAAATACATGTTTCTAGCCAATTGGTAATAATACTTCAAATTTACTAAAACATAAAAGCACACAAGGATTTGTTTCCCACTGCTGAAAAGCCACACAGAAAAAAGGTGAAATAGAGTAAGTGCTCAGGAAAAGATTTACGTCTTGCATATCACGCAAGACGTAAAACAAGCCGATTCTTAAAGGAGAACTCCATCTTGGGCTTTTTAGTAGAACGTTAAAAGATGTTATCATCTGACATACCCTATGCGCCCTTGTCCATTGTGAGGAGCGTCTATTTCAAGCTGTTACTCTGCATCCTTTTTATCAAAGGAATTCCATATTATAATCCACAGGAACATTTTCTGCTGCCAACTCTGTATAGGCAGAGTAAATGTACCACGCTCAGCAGATTTCATTAGGCAGCTCTTTATGAGCAAAAACACCTTCATAACCCTGACATTTATACCCCAAACCAATGCATGGAGTTTCCCTTCAAATCAAGAATATTCTGGAAATACTAACCAACAGTGCAGCGTAATTGTAAGCGATTGTAAGCAAACCATAGTATTCATCCATTTTTCAACCAGATTTAATTTTACCAATTCTCATTATCCTATTTTGTGTTTACACAGCAAGTGTTGAAGTGTGTTGTTGAATTGTGATTAGGATAAGACATAGGAACTCAGGTGTCAGGTTGTAACTGAGGCATACATGTACATTTTGCTGTGAGCTTAAAATGTGTACCCAGAAAAAAATTAGTCATAATCTCAACAGGAAACAGAGATTTTGCATAAAGAGATGTTGGAGCAAAGTATTACACAAGTAAATAAGTTACCGGTTCATCGATGGTACCATCCTTAAAGAAAAGAAACAATAATGAAACTTTGGCTGTCTAATTGTTTTATGCTCGTCTATTTTTCCGACAGCCGTATATGCAAGCATATACGGCTACTTTATGGGTGTGCATGGGTATGTAAGCAACAGGTTACAACAGAAAAACTTATTTCATTGGGAACAAAAGCAACCATTTAATGGTAATCCCATATCTATAGGTCCACTGGCTTAATAAAATATGGTCATAACACTTTACTAGCTGGCACTAGGTGGTCCTAAATTGGATTCATCCCCTATTGACACCTATGTGTTTTTCTTTGATGTGGTTTACCTTGAAATGGAAACTAAAAACACATGCCACTGGATGCATTAAGTTGCACATCAATGTACATAAATGAGCATCACAATGCATGTCAATGCATCATGATGTCAATGTGTGTAATGATGCAGGTTTAGATTCATACAAAGCACGTTTAGAAATGTGCTAAAATGCATGTCAACCTGTGTTTTTTTTTTTAATGGAAAATGCATCAAGAGGAATAATGCATAGGTGTGAATAGGCCGTCTATAGGAACCCTAATAGGTGCTCACTATTCGTGTCAGATATACAACTACTATGATTTCTGTAACCAAACTATGACCTTGCACAGATATAAAACAAAGCAGCTAGCACTTGCATAGTGAAAATCACTACTCTACAGATCAATAAATGTATTAATAATATTTGTTCCACACTAATACATACATATATGAAAAAAAGTGCTATGCAACAATCTTAAAACAAGAAGTACTATAATTTAGCGACTCTATAATTACATTTTTATATAATCCCATTGCAAATATATTTACATATTTTCAAAAGATAAACTTAGTTCAAAATAGCCTGAGAGAAAAAAAATTTTTTTTAAACTTCTCTCTCTGTAAGGTAACTTATAGCCAACTAAGGGGACTCTCCCCCCACATTCTCATTCTCTTGACATCAGAAGTAGGTGTTTTATTCATATAAGTAAAGAAAATACTTTTACCCCGTCAATATTATATTTATACCACCACCCTTCCAAGACTAAACTCCCCCTGTGCATAACCCAATAGCCTACACAGTTTAATTTATCCAATAAATCTATCTCCCCATCTGTCTTACACTGGAGATAATTCCCTCTTTTTCTCAATCACTCTATATCTACTCATTTACAAACATCCATACATATACAAGCACCTACGCATACCCAGGGATCCCAACCTGAAAGAAGCAATTTCAGGGAGGTGCCCTCTCCCCCCCACCCCATCCGCGGAGGGAGGGTTAGGGGGGGCTGGGAGAGAGCACCCCCTGAAATGATGGCAGATAGCACAGGAAGCAATAGCTTCTTTGCTATCTGCAGGCTTTTTTTTAAATTTTCTTTTAGTATTCTGACAGTTGCAGTCGTCAGAATAATTTTTAAAAAAGGCATAAGAATGCACAGCTAGCAAACTAGCTATTGCACCCGCTCTCTGCTGCTTTCAATCACCAGAAGAGGACCTGATAGAAAAATTCAGGTCCCAATACCCATCAACACAGCCCACATACCTACATATATTTAAATATTTCCCTACTTCCTTTTCCCTCCCTCCTCTACCCTCCTCCACATCCTCCCTCCTCTACCCTCCTCCACATCCAAATACCTTCTCTCTTTACTTAAACCTTGTGTCTCGTGAGAACAAACCCACTACAATAATCATTAACAACTTGCCACTCCACCCCACCCAGGTAATAATTTATATATCTTAACCCAGGACTTAAAATTTCCACTCGCCTGCTCGCATTTGGTGAGTGGAAATAAAGTGAGGGCGAGCCAGACACGCTCTCTCCCTTCTCTCCTGCACTTTCAGTTTCCTCTGTCCTCCTACGATCGACTCCGGCTGTTGTGTTTTTGTTTAGACAGGTGACAGGAGACATGTCTATTAGAAGCCGGCGTCTCCTGTCACCATGGATACCCGCTCTCTACTGCGCATGTGCAGGCAGACGGGACTATGAGCTCGAACCCAGTGGCCCGGCATCTAGCTATAGGCGTTCCTGTTCCCATGGCAGCACGGGTCGGCCTGAACTAACGGCCCGGTGCTGTAATCCTTGCTTTGATCTGCACGCTGCTATTTCCCAGGAGGGGGAGACCGATCTGCAAAGGGTCATGGATGTAATTTGAGCTCTGCAAGCAGGTACTGCTCCAGTCTATTTTTTAGGATAGTTGGAAAACATTCCTTTTCATGATTGTTTAGGTTTATTATTTGAATTATCTGGCGGGAAATGTGACATCATACTGATGCCATAGGAAGTTTGGGGCAGTTCTTTACTGTTTTTCTATTAGGTGATTAGGTTTTTCTTGTATAAAGTGTTGCTGGGAGTTGTAGTCCTCTATAGCTGGTGCCATTCTGCATTTTTGTATAAAGTGTAGCTGGGACTTGTAGTCCATGGAGTTGTAGTCCATAGAGGACTACAACTCTCATCAACACTTTATCCAAAAATGCAGAATGGAACCAGTTATAAAGTGTTGCTGAGAGTTGTAGTCCTCTACAGCCGTTATCATTCTGCATTTATATATAAAGTGTAGCTGGGAGTTGTAGTCCTCTATAAACTGGTGTCATTCTGCATTTTTGGATACATTTTCCTTTATATTTACATTGCTTTATGGTAATATTGTAAAAGTTATTTATTTTTGTAACTTTATTCTGAATAAAACATTTAACAATGTAATTTCATAAGATAATTTAAGAGGGCGTGTTTAGGGGCGGAGTTAAGGCCGGGGCAGGGTAGGAGTTGGGTGCGGCAACTGGTGGCAAGTAACTTTCTGGCCTGGCTAGTAGCTCAAGACTTAACATTTTAAGCCTTAACATTTTAAGCCCTGTCTTAACCTAAATGTCCCATTCCCTAAACACTCCATCCTTTCCCTCCCTGAACCCTCCACCTACTTCCTCTATACATTTCACACATCGTATCCTTTCCAAAAAAACAGACAGCGCCTTGACCTCGTGTAATAAAGTTTATTAATCAATGAACATAGAATACTACTCACATGGTAATCACTGAATGAATGGTACAAGGCAGACCCCACACACAGCTGCCTTGCTAGCTGATGCGTTTCAGGGAATACAACCCCTTCCTGAGAGCCAAATACCAACCAATACACCCCTCTGAGGAAGGGGGTATATTCCCCGAGGCAGTTTTGTGTGGGGTCTGCCTTGTACCATTAATTCAGTGATTACCATGTGAGTAATCTATGTCAGCTTGTATGTTCGTTGATTAATAAACTGTTACACGAGGACAAGGCGCTGCCTGTTTTGCATGTTTTGTGAGGACTAATTCCCAGTGGCCTTTTGATGACGGCAGACTGCAAAAGATTGTTGGTTGAGAATATAATTGGGAGTCTGCTGAGCGCTGTGGTGTGCATTTTTCTGGAACCTATCCTTTCTGCCTACTTCCACTCCTCTGAATCACCCAACTACACACCACATTTGCATAATTTTAAAGTGTGCCGTGATGGAAAAATGGTTGGGGAACGCTGCTATATCCTATGTCTGAACAAAGTTTATATATACACAATTTTTTGAAAGCAACAGCCACAGCTAGCTCCTTTTGCACCCGAGGCAAGAACAGAAAATCGTGCCCCTCCAACAAACGTGTGATGTCACCTGAGGTGACTTCTACTATCGACTGGATCCGACACGCGGGGGGAGAGCAGCGGGGATCCGAGGAAAAGCTGCCTGTGCTGCCCCTCTTCTACCTGCCAAGCCGTAGCTGTGTTGACCGCCTGGCGCCCCTGTTGCCACAGTGCCCTGTGCTCACCATGGCAACAGGGGTGAAGGGGCGCAGCCAGGCCGGCCCTGGCTGCGCCCCCTCTCAGCTGCATCTGAGACGAGTGCCTCTCCTGCCTCATGGTAGCTACAGCCCTGGCAACAGTTTCTACAGCTGCTGTATTTGCACATCAACTCCCATTTTGACAGCTGGGAACTTGCAGCAAGTTCTGGGGGTGTTGGGTAGCAGTGAGGCAGCGGAAAAGGAAATACAACTCATGCCCTGTGATGAAGTTTTTTTAGGGCTTGTGTAGCACACCCAGTGCCCACAATCAGTCAGAAAATAATGCCTATTTTTTAATTTGCGTGTCAATTAATAAATGTACAGATAATGAAAATTCATTTTGAATACTTCATGGTCAATGTACTGAAATTAGTACTTACTTGTGTAAGGTCAGGAATGTCTCCTTTATCAATGCCAACTTGCTATAAAAAAAACAAAAACGGATACAGTACCATATTTTTGAATGCAGAAGAACATATTACTACAAACAGATACTGTACTATATAGAATTACAAGACATTTTCCAGCACTATTTTTTTTTATATTGCATGATATTAATCCTTTTCATGTGGTGTTTTATGGTTGTTTATCTTCTATAAGCACTGACATGGTAATAACCATAGTAGCTCACGCAGCTGCTATGGGGCCAGAGGTAGGAAAGGTCCCCCCCATTAGGGAGAGTGTTAAAAGGAAAACTAAAAACTGTGATGTTACCAATATATAAGGGCTGAAATGTAACCTCAGGATCTTAGCTAGTCACTGATCCCCTTCTGTGCTTTAAGAAGAAGCTGCTTAGCAGTGTAGAATAATCGTCCTCCAAACCTCTCCTGCAGAGTGAAGTTAACAATGTATGCAGTCAAGATGCCAGAGTTTCCCCTCGCTAGAACCTAATAGGATGGTTCACATCATTATGGTTATTAATATTATTGCTACTACAATTATAACTTCTACCCCTCCAACTGATCCTTAGTAGTGTTCCGACTATGCTGACAGGTCTCCTGCGGTCTGTCCTTAATTTAGGAATACTTTAAGATTAATGATGAGTAGTGTCACAGTTGATACTGCTAGTTGCTACAGAGTTAGATTGGAGGGCTTATCAAAATGTTACTGTTGGCCCAGATTCATAGGTACACCCCTGCCTATGAATGTCACAACATTTAAAGCATAATTTAACTTTTCATTTTTAAAATCAGCTAAATGTATTCCAGGTGCATCTAATAAATGGTATTCAATGTCTTACAGTTTGGTTTCTTTCTAAAGTAGCCATAGAACTTGTTAAGCCTGTTCCCTGCCAGCAGCTGTAGAGAAGGGCCCTAGCTCTCTGTGTAGAAACAGTGTTCTCTCCGCAGAGGTCCGACACGCACCCTACTGAGTCAGACCTATAGCTCTGCAATCATTAATACTTATGCTCCCTAATTGGGGGACTGTAGCTCTGACTCAGCAGGGGTATGTCAGAACTGCTTCCCCACAGAGAGTAAAGACAGGTATATTATATTATAATTTAATATACCTGTCTTTACTCTTATATTCTCTCCATTCACCCAGTGGACTGAAAATGTAACAGGTTCCTTCATCCTCATTGAACAGCGTGGATGGACGAATCCCCCGCTGTGAGCATTGTACGCGGACAGTGGCTGGTGGCCGCTGTCAGAATACCTGAGCGGTGTTTGCAGCTAATTGGTTGCAGGCTTCAGCCGAAGGCTTTCCAACATGTTCTTGCAGTAAAAGTGGATCTAAACAAAATCAACTTCTGCCAACGGAATAGGGTACACATGGAGCGAATTTCAGCCAATCCACTCTGCAGGAGCAAATTTCAGCCAATCCACTCTGCAACATGCAGACAGGCTGTGGCTGCTTTTTAAAGAAAACAAAATGAACACCATTTGATTTGATGCATCTGGGAGGGTATTTAAACTGAAAGTTCAATTGGGCTTTAAATTTTCAACATTCATATTAACTGAGGGTACCTAACTAGGGCTGCAACAACTAATCGACATAATCGATTATAATCGATTATTGAAAAAGTTGTCAACACCCTAATCCAGAAGTGGGTCCAGACCTTTCACATTGCACACCAAGTTAATTCACCAAAATGTATGACTTCGCATTGCTGCTTCTCCATACCATTAGAACTCACAGTGCAATCTACGACAATGTGAACTGCATTCCATTGCACATTTACAGTGTGGTGCAACACAGCCGCACTATAGTGCACCACAACCTATATATGCAAATGCTCTATGCATTTCTGTGCACTGAATTTTGACAAACGATCAGCACCAATTTTGTTGCATGCTGGAGGTGCATTGATGGCTCATTTAGGTTGAGTTGCAATGCACAAAAATGCATTAATTGCAGTGCCCTGCATTATGGTGTGGCTGGGCCTTATACTAGCGTTTTACAAATCAATATACGAGTACTAATGAAATCAGTACACAAAACACATGTAGGCCACAGCAGGTTAAATATTATGATGTCACTGACAAGGTGGGGTTTAAGTTTTGGATTAAAAGGGATATCCTTTAAATAACACCTGCCAATAGAGTACAGTCATAAGGCTTAGCGAGATACAATTTATGACCAGTTTTGAAAAACCTCTTACTTCTGCAATTTTCATGAACTCCGAAACCCTCGTCATTCTGGTCAGAAATCGCTTATAAATTTCTAGGGCATCTTTACACTGGCTTTTCTTCATTTCAAAAAATTTCTCTGACAAAAAAAGAAAAAATGAACAATCATAAGTACACTATCACAAGTATATCCAAGTTCATTAAGCTTGTGAGCGACTTTCCAACAATAGCAGTTGAAAATTTGCATTGAGTAAATAAAGCTAAATACTTTAATACGGTTATAGAAATGAGACGACTAGATCTGTCAGCTGAGTCTCAAACGCCATTAACCAGGACTCCTACTACTAGTGTAAAGTAAATTAAAAGTCAAACAGACACCTCCAAGAGAAAAGCATATGCTCTGCTAAAATTATGCTCACACTTATGACATGATTTAAAATAAAAAAAGGGAAGAAAAAAAAAAAAACTGTAGATATACTTACCCAATAAATTAATAATACCATCATTATAACAAGCAAAAAGCTTGATGAGGTCTTTAAAAAGCAGCAAAAAACCAGCATTTATAACTCCATTTGTCAGTTCGTTTGGATGAACCTGTTAAAAGCAAACCAGTTTTGTTAACATTAAACATAAAAAAATATAGCATTGTAACATGTAAAATCTGTCAACTTGTGGTGTCCTCTAAGACGTAATGTAACAATTATTGCAATGTTTATCACATGGATAGCCCCTTACTAACCAATAAGTATTAATTGTTCTAATTATGTATTATATTGAATTTACATAAGTTCTATCCCACTCCTAATAACCATATTGATCTAGAAGAGCAAAGGGCCAGCAGGCACACTGCAACATTTTAATTCTCCTGCACCACCCTGGTATAGATTGTGACAACATCATATACATACACTACGACAGACAGACAGTCTCTCTCTCTATATCTATCTATCTATCTATCTATCTATCTATCTATCTATCTATCTATCTATCTATCTATCTATCTATCTATCTATCTATCTATCTATCTATCTATCTATCTATCTGGAATCGCCCACTTCCAAGGTGAAGTAAAATTGCACCTGTACTACGTGCCAAATAAATACCCCCCAATTCAAAACTCCAAAATGACAATAAGTAAACAAGCAAATAAGCATAAATAGTATGCTGCAAACATTGTGCAGCCATGCTGCTCTGCCTGACCCCCCAGGATGCTGTCTGAGGCAATAGCCTCAGGCTGCCTCATTATAGGGTTCGTCCCTGGCAGCTGTCCAGGGAGTGGTGCAGAGTGAAATACACACAACCTGTGACCTTTGACCATCCAGGTCAACGTGTGTGTGTGCGTGCACTCGTACCCAACTCCTCAACATCCCTGTATATTTTGTTTTTTGCCGATTCAATGAATTGTGGAATGGACTTTCAGAGAGACCAAGATAGACACACAAATACTTAGATTATAGGTTATAATTCACGAATATATACTTTTGCTTTGTATTAATTCACCATTCTATAAATAGTAAAATATATTGGTATGCACTGCACAGGATTGTATTTTTGTTTTTTAAACTGAGAACTTTATTTATGATTATTTAGCTGTATTTAGATTAGGCCGTTTTAGAAGAACGCTGCACTTTTTGTTTGCGTTATCATTTGATAGTAGACATCTAAACACTAATACAGTGCTGGCTTGATTTTTTAGACATCACATGGGTAATAATAATAATATCAGTGCAGAAGTTCACACACTATAAACTGTAAATAAAACTAAAGCTTTGCTGCAGCCATTGTGTGTGGTACACAGAATAGCAATTATTTCACAGGTAGCCATCGGTTTATACTGAGTGATCAAAGTTTGGAAAACACTATTCTGTCACCACTGGCACAGACTCTTCTGTCTAATATTCTAGAAGTAGTTCTCAACTGTTGAAAGTAGCAACGCAAAACAGCAAGAGGTCAGAGCTTTAAAAACCCGTCTTGATTTGGCTGACATCTTTCATAATCATGGGATTACCCATAATCTGCATTAAAACCATTTTAATTGGCATTGAAAACACACATACTAACCAGATGAAATATGAGCAAGTCAGAAATAGTTTAGCTATTTTGTTCATTTTCACGACTCTGCAGTTTTCAGAAATACTCTGCAGTTATTTCTAGATTCTTGTTCTCCAGTGAATAAAGAAAGCCCCAGACAGAGGCTAATCAGCAGGTTTCTCTTGATTATTGGTTGTATAGAATAGAATTTGATATGAATATGCCTGCATGTAACTTAGGCTTGACGCTTATGTGTCTACTCTCCACATCACTACAAAAAAAATGTATCACGTACATCTCTATGTAACCATTTCTGATTTTCTTGCTGTTTTACTACTGCAGGGGTAGGCCAAGTCCAGACCTCCAGGTGTGGTGCAACTATGAATCCCATGAGGCTTTGCAAGGCTCCAACAGCCATAGCCATGCCAGACAGGTGCAAGATGGAATTTGTAGTCACACCAAGGCTGGATGGTCGGAGTTCATCTACCCTTGCATACTGGAAAGATTCTATAATGTTTAGGCTCAGCTGTTAAAGTGAAACTATGGGCAAAATAAAAAATGAAATAAGTCATGCAGTCTGTCGCTAGCATTAACACAACAATGTTTGTTTTTTTGAGTCCCCCACAAGTAATAATTGTACCCCCTGTCGATCCTGCCAGAAGATCCATTATCTTACCACTTCTTGTAACAGGGTGACTGTTTGTTCTGCACTGGATCAAACAGCAGTGTTGTCACCTTGTCTTAAAATGGAAATGTAGCTTTAGATTGACTTTAAGAGGCAAACAAATTAAAGCTCGACTCCTGCTACCACTTAAAAGCAATTACAGCAACGGGTGGTATCTGATTCATCCAGCAAGAAAAAAAGTATCTAAACCCAAAAACAATAAAATGTAATATATGGCAGCTTAGATGTGGTGGCTATAATCATTTTTACTACAGGACAATACCTGTTGATCATGCCGTGTCCTTGTCACTTTGTCAGCTTAAAAGAAAGGACAATGACCCTTACTGTGTAAACTACTACCATCAATCCACCATGTGATGGAGAACAACAACAGAGCCAGACATATTGAAGTCCAACTATGGTGCTCCTATAGATTTATTGGGGAAATGAGTGTAGACACGAAGGGACGGCAAGTGTAATTTTTGTAGGATTACCAGGTAAAAACAAAAGGGGAAAAAGCATGAAAAACATAATGCAGCTTCTTCATCTAAAGGTTGGTAAGCTGCAATATATCACATTTTTTATTTTGGGATTAAATATGGTTTAAAGTACAGTATTTGAAAAAAAGCAGACAGTTGTCAGCACATCCGTTAGCGTTATATGTTTTGTCTAAACCCATTGCAACTTTGCTGGACAAGTTGGCCTGCTGGAAGTAAAAAAAAATAAAAAATGTGGATTCTATTTGCAGGATCAATAGGTTATAAAACCAGGATACGAGAAGGGGGAGGAGGAAACTCTAAAACGAAAAACACTGATGGGGGCACTTATCAAAACTGTAGCAGTTGCCTATGGCAACAAATCAGCTTCTCTCCAATTTGTTCAGTTAAGCTTTGAAAATGAAAGCAGAAGTACCCACAAAGTGCCAAATGTACTGGTCACCTGGAATAATCAAATCACTACAAACGTTCAGCTAGAGATCTTTCAGAAATCTACACATCCAGCTATATGTCTACGTGTGTTCAACTTACATCAAACTCCAGCAAAGCATCAATCTGTCCTTGTAGTATAGGCATGCCCTTTAGTAACTTTTCTGGCACCATGGTCCTCATCACCCCTTCAGCTCTGAAAGAAGATGAATAAAATGGCAAGGTTGGTCTTATTGTCTATGAAATACGGATTTTTTTTTTAAACGTATGCATCCAGATCTGAACATTGGGGGCGACTCACTAATTTCTCATACCATATAGCCGCGACTCACTCATTTCTCATACCATTTAGTCGTTTTCCACTTTTAACAGCAGCTCTCAGGTAGCTAAAGCTCTTTGATTCACAGGGCATCTTTAGGTGCCATTCAGGTTTTTCTGCATAGTGGTAGATAAGCATCTTGAGCCTGGCATGTCATAGGTTAAGGCTGTTTACAGACCTACCTTCCACTGTCCCTCAAGAGCTTTGTCAGCTGGTAAGAAGCAGGGATGCATTCTTCTTTTATGCCAGTGATTTCTCAAAGAATAGTTTAATAGCTTAGCTGTGCACTGGATTTTCTAGCTTCAGAACATATGGTGCTGCCAGAGGACAGAGTAGAAATCAGGGTTGCGGGTGCTAACAAAAAGGATTTCCGTATAGCAACATATGAATGCTACATAAGGAAGCGATCTATGGGTGGGGGGAAAAACAAAAAAAAACACACAACCTTGTGGAGAGGCTTACCCCGCAATGCAACAGTTAATTGCTTGTTTATGCCTAGGGGGTATGGTGATGAAGACTTTTACTGATCTGATCACTCCCTAGTGGTCCACTCTCACCTCTCTCCAGTTCATGGACTGTACCTCAGGTTTGTCACATTTAATGCAGCGCCTGCATTCTACATGATGTCAGCGGGCCTCCAACTGCTGGACAAGGGGAGAAGAGAGGAGGGGGAGGCTGCGGGTGCAGGTCTTGTAGCCTGCAGGGATCAGGTAAGTAAAAGTCCTTTACAAAAGGTTCCCTAGGCCAAAATAAGCAGTTAATTAGAACAGTTTTTGTTTTGTTTTTTTATTAACTGGGGGGTATAATTAACCTTATTAGCATATATATTCGAATATGGACATTTTACCATTTTGAACGGATTGTTAACAAATTGCCTTAAAAACAAGGCTAATAAAAATGAGTTTTGCGTGTGAATATACAGGCATCAAAACATCCCAAAAAACATACAATATATACAAAGAATAATCCTACCCCTTTTTTACTCTGGCGAAGTCAAATGCCATTTGTCTGTAGGAGAAGGCTTTTTCATTGAGATATCTACTGTAGCGCCTAATGAATGTTGACATGTCATAACCTGGAGGAATAAACAAAATGATGATAATGTATTGAATTATTTGTGACTCATCTTTATGGAATCTCATAAAAGACAAACAGTTGGACAAGTACAAATATCCATGGAGGAAGCCGCAGAAACTAACATGTCCAACATGGTTTTATAGATTTTCCTTCTTTGGGAACCTCAAGATATTTGTTCGTAGGCCCCGTACCAGAATGGAATGTGAAGTGGCCCAAGATATGTATACTGCTCAAAAGCAAGTTGGCCATCACCGGCCCCACCGCAGAATTTAAAAAAAAAAGGTTTTTCAGAGCACATTTCAGAGGTGACTCTTGCTGCAATCCAATAAACAAGGAAGATTACTGCAGCCATTTCTAGAATTCTAGGGTCTGCCATTGCTGTATTGTATTCAGAGATGCAAGCTTCGTGCCTACTTGTAGAGTCAAGGAGATACAATATTCGCTCCGAAAATTCTGC